AACTGAAGAAAGAGTTGAAAAAGACTCAGAACTACTTCGCGTCGTTACCGTAGTTGTTAGCCAAAGCAATGGAAGTAGAGATCGCGGAGTCCGACGAACACTGGAAAGCCCCCCCCCCTCCGCGGAACAGAGCATGCTGCCCGACGCGGCATACCAGCCTAAGGCCAAAGCGCCAGCGAGGGCCAAAGCGAGCATCGCGTCTGTGGTAGAAAAGTCTTCTTTCTCTGAGGCCGACTTCGAAAAATCTTTCCAAAAGTTTTTCGATAAAAAGTGGCAGCAACTTGCGGCGGCTAAGACAGGGCTTCCCGTCCCCCTTAAGGATGCAGTACAGGAGTCGACCACCGTCGGCTCCCCGAAAGATGGCAAACCTCCGGCCTACCCGTGTCAACGCGAGGGAAGACGGAGCGGGGCAAGCGGCCGTGGCCGCCCGGCAAGAAACGGTCGGGCCCAAGTCATCACTCCCAAGTCGGATAAAAACAAGGACAAGCCTCCCGGCCCCGATGCTCAGAGATTACTCTGTTGGGACTGCAGCTGGCCTGGGTACACCAAAGCCACCTGTCCCGAGTGCTCAAAAATCGAGGCACCAAAAAACGTGGAAAGGAACGCGTAGATGAGGTCCCTACCGTTCCGATGGCGACCCGGACTTCGCTGCAGATGCCCCCGCGGGAGAAACGCCAACGCGTTCCGATAGCATTGCAACGAGCGCGTTGGTAGAGAAGTACCCCAGATGGTGGCTGACGCTTAGCATCGGTCCATTTACCTGCAGGGCTCTGTACGACACTGGAGCCTCGCGCACCGTTCTGAGTCCCATCGCCCTTCAGATTGCTGCCGCGATGAACAAGCGCGTCAACATGTATGTCGGGCCCGGCGCGAAAGCAGTCGATGGTCATTATGTCCCTATCATCGGTAATGTACAGTTACCCTTTACGATAGGTGGTGTTACCCACTCGATCGACGTACTCATTTTGAGCGAGGCTGATGCTGATTGCACCCTCGGAAGTGACTTCGTTCGAGCCTTTTCCGCGTGTTTGGATCCCGAGACCAACACGATAAGGATTAAAGGTTGCGATCAGGAAGTCCCAACCACTGTCTCCTCACTTCGTGCGGAGGAGGTGATGTCGCTAGCGGCCTTGGGTATCGAAGAGATCTCGAAGGAGCAGCAACAAGAAATCGATCGAGTGATGGATGACCTCCTGCCCGAACCTTCCTGCGAGCAGCTTGGCTGTACCGGATGGATCGAGCACGACATCGACATCGACAGCGCGCGCCCAATTAAACAGAAATACTATCCGGTGTCGCATAAGATCGAAGAGGAGATGCACGTGCAAGTGCATAAAATGCTGCAGATGGGGATTATTCGTAAGTCCCACAGCGAGTGGTCTAGCCCGGTGGTGATGATTCGGAAACCCGACGGCGAATACCGATTTTGTGTGGACTACCGGAAGGTGAATAGTGTTACTCGCGTGAGCGCATATCCGCTGCCCTTTATGGATGCGATACTGCGAAAGCTCCAGCACGCCAGATTCGTGAGCGCAATTGACCTCGCGAGCGGATTTTGGCAGGTCCCTCTTTCGGAGAGGGCCATCCCGATAACTGCTTTCACCGTCCCAGGACTCGGTCTATTCGAATTTGTTCGGATGCCCTTCGGATTGGCTGGTGCCCCGGCAACATTTCAGATGTTGGCCGACAGGCTCATCTCACCCGAGATGGAGCCTTATGCCTTCGCGTATCTTGACGACGTGATCATCGCTACTGAAACGTTCTCAGAGCATGTCCGCTGGCTCACGCATATTCTAAAAAGAATACGTGAAGCTAGCCTTACGATCAACCGCAAGAAGTCCAGGATTTGCATGACCGAGGTGCGTTATCTCGGCGTGCTAGTAAATCGCGACGGTACACGCCCCAATCCAGAACGAGTCGCACCGATACTCGAGTACCCAGCCCCGAAAAATCTTCGTGCTTTGCGCAGATTCTTGGGCATGGCCTCGTGGTATCGGAAAATTCTAAGCGATTACGCCACGATTTGTGAGCAGCTTAACGCGCTCACACGCAAGGACGCCAAATTTGAATGGCAGGAGGCGCAACGGCAAGCTTTCGAGCAAGTCAAAGCCCTTTTGGCAACGGCCCCTGTCCTAGCCAGGCCCAATTTCACTGCGCTGTTCATCATCGAATGTGACGCGAGCGATACCGGCCTCGGAAGCGTTCTGCTGCAGCGTATCGACGGCGAAGATCGAGTTCTGTGCTTCGCGAGCCGCGCCCTGACGGCTTGCGAACGTCGCTTGTCGGTTACCGAGCGTGAGTGCCTCGCTGTCGTATGGTCGACCGAAAAGTTCTGACCCTACGTAGAGGGGTATCACTTTACAGTTATAACCGACCACCAGAGCCTTAAATGGCTCACTAATCTGAAACACCCAAACGGTAAGCTTGGTCGCTGGTCCCTCGCGTTGCAATCGTATGATTTCGATATTATACATCGCAGGGGTAAGGACAACGTCGTGTCTGACGCGCTTTCACGCATGATTGAGGCCGACGAAGACGAGCTCGCGGCTACCGCTTCGTTGACACTCGACGAAAGCATAAACGACCCGTGGTACCGCAAGAGAATGCAGGAGGTCCTCGAGCGGCCCACGGATAACCCCTATTGGAAAGTTTTAGGCAGCCGGTTATATATTTATAAGCTCGACCCCATCGTCGACGACCTCTTCGGAACCGATGACGACGCTTGGAAGCTCGTTATCCCAAAGGAAGACCGGGCACGAGTCTTATCCGAATGCCACGAGGAGCCGACGGCAGGGCATCTCGGCCGCTACAAAACCCACAAGCGCGCGAGCCTCCGCTATTATTGGCCGAAAATCATTCACGACGTAGGATACTATGTTAAGAATTGTCCGATCTGCCAGCAGGTCAAAGCCTTACAAGTCACACCAGCAGGATTGATGGGACGACACCTCGTCACGCGACCGTGGGAAATTGTGTCCGGCGATACCATGGGCCCTTTCCCGCGATCCGCGCAGGGCTACGAGCACTTGCTTGTCTTTCTCGATCTCTTCACTCGCTGGATCGAATGTGTCCCCCTCCGTAAGATTACTGGGAAAATCATCCGATGCCAACTGAAAGAACGTGTGTTTCTGCGTTTCGGGATCCCTAAAAAGTTCTTGTCTGACAACGGTACTCCGTTCAAGAATAAAGTTGTCGACGACTTTTTGGACTCGTTCGGCGTGATACACGCGACATGCGCCCCGTACTCGCCTAAGAGCAACCCGACCGAACGCGTAAATCGCACGCTCAAAACAATGGTTCGAGCGTTTATCGAGGAAAAGCACTCGACGTGGGATGCGCATATAGCAGAGTTCGCGTTTGCCTACAACACGGCAATACACGAAGCGGTGCGCACGAGCCCCACCTTTCTAAATTACGGACGTCATCCCGAGCTGCCAAACTCGAAGAAACGAGAGGAAGAACGCGCCGTGTCTGGGAACCTCGAGACGGCCGCGGTCACCGACTGGCACGCTCGAATTAACAAGCTTGACGACTTCCGAGCCGTTGCACTGCAACACTCGCGAGGAGCCCATGATAGACAGGAGATGTACTACAACGCTAAGCATCGCGACGTCAAGTATAACGTCGGTGATAGAGTCTGGGCGAAGAATCGTGTGCTGTCCTCCGCCGCTAACCAGACGACCGCGAAACTCAGCTCGAAGTACGCGGGCCCGTTCATCGTTACCGCACGCCTCGGTCCCAACTCATACCAACTCCGGAACGAAGAAGGTTGTGACGTTGGTAAAGTCGCCGTTTGCGACTTGCGCCCGTGTTTCGACGGAGCCCAGTGCCCCGATGATGCAGCAGACAGTCCTCTCCTTGAAGGAAACGAAAACGACGAGACCCCCTCGTAATTTATATAACGAGTGACCCGCGCTGGGTCAAAATCCCGTTATAATGCAAAAACCTGAAAAAAAAACAATCGAAATTTTTTATTGATATTTCCAAAAAAGTTATCAAAAAAATCTGAAAAATTCTAATGCAGTCTCTGGCTAATTCTATGACTTTTTGTTCTAATAAAATTTTTCTCAAAGCATATAGTTTTCAAGCAAAATATTATTAAACATTGTGCGAATTCTTCCCAACCGTTTCAACTTTATTTGAAAAATTCAAAATTTTTTGCAAAATATTTGAATCTTTGATAAATTTTAAGGCATTTTTCTTTTATAAAACTCCGAACAAAACAAAAACATAAAGAACGGTACCTTGGAACAATTTATTGTTTCAATTTATTGTTCTGTTTTACACATGAATTTTGCGATTAAACCATGTACAAAAAATGATGTCTATGGTCATTAATAGGTTAAATGAAACAAACTTATATAAGTATGAAAGTTCAAATAAAAGAAAAAATTAAAAAACTAACTTGAATAAATTAGTGTACCGATAAGCCAAAATCACTTTACTATAATTGTTGAAGCGCTGGCGCGGGAGCTGAGGATGTAATTCCGTCGGGAATGAGATGACGCAGATACAATATTCTTTAATTTGAAGGCTTTATTGGCTACACTCGTAGTAACAGAACAGGCGAAGGAAACAAAGTCGCGTTGAAAGAAAGTTCTGACGGTGGACAGCGCAGGTCAATGCTGGCCGAAAGCTCCAAGTAAACAGAGCTTAGCAACGGCGGTGACGTTATTCAGGGGAAGGGGCTTCAGTCTTGCCCCCACTTCAGGGCCTGCGTCGTTGTCTCCTCGTCGGACGATAGAGAAAAAAGGGGAGCCTGGCTCGAGCTGCGCGAGGCCGGGCAACTCGACCAAACATCCCGCCCGCCTCGTTCCGAGAACGACCCGATGGTGTTGTAGTCGTCGTGCGCCCTAGGTTGGCTGCTCGATGAGATCGGGGGCTGGCAGGGGCGCCAGCTTGTGGACTGGCCGGACATATTCCCCTGCGGCGGTCCGGATCTTGACGGAGCGGACGAGGCCATCCGGTCCTGGGTGGGTGGCGACTATACGGCCAAGAGGTCATCGCCCATCTGGGCGCAGAAGAGTCGGGTCGGTTATGACCACAAGGTCGTCGACCTGGAGGTTGGGTCGAATCGTCCTCCACTTGGGGCGCTGGCGCAGGGTATTCAGGTACTCGCGGCCCCAGCGGTACCAGAACAGCTCGCGCATGGCTCGGACGAGCTCCCAGTGCTGTGTGCTCTCCAGGTTGGTGGTTGCGGGAAGCGGCTGCGAAATTGAGGTGGCAGAGATTCCGAGGAGAAAGTGGCTCGGTGTCAGAGCGTCCAGATCATCGAGGTCTCCGGTGGGCGGCGCGAGCGGTCGGCTGTTCAGGGTGGCCTCGATGGAGACGAGGAGCGTGGTAAACTCCTCGTAGGTGAGCATTCTGGGAGCGGCAATGCGGTGAAGGTGGGCCTTCATGCTCTTAACGCCGGCCTCCCAGAGTCCGCCGAAGTGAGGGGCAGCGGGGGGGATGAACCTCCACGAGACACCGTCCTGTGCCAGCTTCCCTTCGACTAGCCCCCAGTCGATTTCGGCCTCCTGCAGCAGTCGTCGAAGCTCCAGGCTGGCACCGCGGAAGTTGGTGCCATTGTCGCTCCAGATCTCGTTTGGGCGTCCTCTCCTCCCGATGAATCGGGTGAGGGCTCCGAGGAAGCTGGCCGTCGTCAGATCACCGACGAGCTCCAGGTGGATCGCTTTCGTGCTCATACACACGAAAAGCGCCACGTATCCCTTGATGGTAGGGAGTCCCCGTCCGCGGCTTCGGCAGAGTGGAAATGGGCCGGCATAGTCTACGCCGCAGTGACTGAAGGGCCACGAGGGGGTCACCCTGACCGCGGGGAGAGGGGCCATCCCTTGGGCGGCGGTCCTTGCGGAGATCCGGGCACAGATCAGGCACTGACGAAGGTGGCGCTTGACGCGCGACTTGCCGCCGGTGATCCACGCCTTCTGCAGGACTCTCGCGTAGGTAGAGCGAAAGCCTCCATGCAGACTGCGAGCGTGGGCCCATCGGAGGACGAGCTTTGCCAGGTGCGAGCGTCCGTCCAGGAGGACAGGGTGGCGCTCGTCGTAGGGCAGTGGAGATTGTGAGAGGCGTCCGCCCACTCTCAGGAGTCCGTCTTCGTCTAGGAAGGGTTCCAGCGCTCTGAGTGAGGCCTGGAGCCGTGGCGCGGGTCCTTGGAGAAGCTTGATTTCATCCGCGAAGGTTTGACGTTGCGAGAGGCGGGCGCAGGTGAGAAAGGCCCAGCGGAGGTCAGCAGCTCGGACGGGCCCCAAAGGTCTGGGCGAGTTGGGCGTTGACCCGGTCAGCAGCCGGTGGGCCCTCACGGTGCCGCGGAGGAGATTCCCCAGCGTGGAGAAATTCTCGAGGTGGTTCCGGGCTTGGTCCTCCGCGGCGGCAGGTCTTCGACGATGAGCGAGCGAGACCAGGCAGGCCGTGGTGGTGTCGCCCGGGCCTGTAGACGGTGGGTCGTCGACAAGGGCGGTCTGGGGCCAGGCGGATTCGGGGCTGGACAGCCACTTCGGCCCGGTCCACCAGAGGCGGTGGTCCTTGAGGGCGTCCAAACCGACCCCCCTAGAGGCGATGTCCGCGGGATTGTCGGTGGTGGGCACGTGGTGAAGGGTTGCTCCGGCAATCAATTCCTGGACGTGAGCGATGTAGTTGTCCACGAGGTCGTTCCCCACCGGATCGTCGGACTGCAGCCAATGCAGTGCGACGCGAGAGTCGCTCCAAAGGTGGCAGGCCGAGATCGGGACCTTGAGGGCGGAGGCGGTAGTGGTGAGAAGCTGCGAGGCGATGAGAGCCGCGCGCAGTTCCAGTTGCGGGATTGTCATGCGCAGGCGACCGGTTGACGCTGGCTGGAGGCTCTTGATGGAGGAGAGCTTTGTCCGAGCGTTGAGTAGGGCGGTGGTGACGCTTCCGTCCTTGTCGGTGACCCGCGAGTAGACTGCGGCGGCTAGGGCGCGGCGGCTGGCGTCGGCGAACGCGTGGAGCTGGAGGTTCTTGTCGGGTGCGAACCCGATCCATCGGGGGATGTCGATCTCGGTGTCCGCGAGGATCGTGGAGCGGAATGCGGACCATTTGTCTTGCCACGCCTGTGGGAGGATCTCGTCCCAGCTCAGCTTCGCTCTCCACAGATCCTGCACGATCATCTTAGCCACGAGGGTGATTGGCGCCAGCCATCCCGCCGGGTCGAAGATACTGGAGAGCTCGGCGAGGGCCTTGCGCTTGGTCAGCTGAAGCCCGGGATGAGGCGAGGCGGGAGGCTTGAACCGGAATCGGTCGGTGGTTGGGCTCCAGCCTACTCCGAGCTCGGTGACTGGTCCGTCCGCCGAGAGATGGACCCAGCTGGGTCGAAGGCGATCGTCCACGGCGATGTCCTCAAGCAAGGCGGGGTCGCTGGCCACCCACTTCCGCAGGTGGAAGCCGCCCGCCGTGAGAAGCGCGATCAGCTGGTCCCTGAGACGTCGGGTTGTCTACAAACTGTGGCCACCGCTGAGGAAGTCGTCCATGTAGAGGTCGTTCTCAGCGGCCTCTCGTAGTGCGTAGTGGTGGGCGGGGGAGTCTGCGTCCTGGCTCCACAGCACTCTCTGGAGGTGGACGTCCTCTGGCCTCACGCGGATCTGGCGGAACATCATCTGGATGTCCGCGCAAAAGGCGTAGCGGTGCAGCCTCCACCTAGTGAGCACGGTGGTCACGTGCCCTTGTAGCCCGGCGTGCAGCGCGACGTTCAGGCTGTATCCGGAGGATGTGGGTCTCGAGGTATTGAAGACGACGCGCAGTTTCCGTCCTCGATCGTGATATTGCCAGATCCCGTGATGCGGGATGTAGACGGCCGGTCCTTGATGTGCGGTGAGCTCCTCGGCAGTGAGACGCCTCATGTGCCCGAGGTTCTCATACTCGGCCATGAACTCGTGGTAGCGGCCCGACAGTTCCTGGTCCCACTGCATCCGGCGGTGCATCGAGGCGAGGGCGGAACGAGCCTGGCTCAGGCTCTCCCCGAGGAGAGCGACGCGTTCCAGTCGTAGCGGGAGGGCCACGGTGTAGCGCCTTGTGGGGTCTCGGCTGCATCCTCGAGCGAACGCTGCCTCGCACTCGACGTCGGCGGCGGAGATCCTTCTCGTCTGAGGTACCTCCTCCAGAGACCAGAATTTTTGGACGAGGCCGAGGAGGCGCTCGTGGCCGGTCGCTGGGCCCGGGATGGACAGGGTGGCGCAAGACAGGGCAACGCCCTGGTCGGCCTGTCGAGCGGCGGCCACGCGCCCGGTGAGCGTCCAGCCGAACATAGTGTTCTGGGCCAGAAGCGGGCCGTAGCTCCGAACGTCCGATTGGATGATCCGGCCGTAGGCGTCCGCACCGATGACGATATCAATTCCAGTCGGACGGTCGAATTGAGGGTCGGCGAGGGGCAACTCACCCCGCGGATCCAGGCGGGGCTTCTCGATGGCTCCGGAAGGGGTGACGATCCCGACATCTCTCAGGACGAGCGCCTCAACGTGGATCAGTTGGTCGCCGGAGGGAGATCTGAGGTGTAGCATCGTCTGGTGTCTCGCCGAGTCCATGGCAGGGCCGGCGACTCCGACAACGTCGACTCGGACGCGGCGCAGCCTGCAGCCGAGTCTACGGGCGAGGGTGAGGCTCAGGAGGGTTGCCTCGGAGCAGGGGTCCAAGAGTGCTCTGCCCGGCACCGGCGGTGAGCCGTCGCTGCTGGCCTGGACGACGGCAGTGGGAAGGAGGGACAGTCATAACCGTTCCTCTTCCCTCGCCGAGACCTCTGGACAGGCTCGGGTGGCGGCGGCCTGGACGCGGGGGGCCTTTAGTGCGGGATCCTCGTCTTCGTCGCGGTCGGCGGGACGTCTTGCCGGCCGACCTGCTCCTTCGTGGATGAGGGTGTGGTGGGCCCCGGAGCAGCTTCTGCAAGTCCCATTTGACGGGCAGGTCCTGGCCGAGTGCGAGCCACTCAAGCAGTTAAAGCAGAGGTCGCGCTCCGAGACGAATTTTCCTCAGGCGTCAGGCCGCGGAAGGTCAGACAGTGGCCAATATAGTGGGCCTCCTTGCAGGCCGGGCATCCGCTCCGCTTGAGGCCAGTGGTATGGGCCCGCACTTGTCGGCGGCTCGGCTGGCGTCCCTGGCTCTGGTCGGCTTTGCGGGATGCGTCTGATGCGCTGGCCGATTGAGGGAGGGCGGAGGTCGGGGGGTACAGCGACCGCAACGTCCGGAACTGCCGCTGGAGGAACTCTCCCAGCTGTTCGAAGGTCGGCTCGCTGGTTTTCTCCTCTCTCTCCTCCTCCCAGACTCTTCGGGTGGCAGGGTCCATAGCTCGGCTGTCGAGATGGACGAACCAGTCGTCCCAACTACCGACTGGCCGGCCAAGCTTCTCCAGCTGGGTGCGGTGACGTCTCATCGTACAGCAAAGCTCCTGGATCTTCTCCGGCGATTCCTCGGCGAGCGGCGTGAGATGGAGTAGAGCATCGAGGTGGTCTCGCACGCGCAGCTTTGGCTGATCGAAACGGCTGCAGAGGGCCTCCCAGGCCGTGGAGTAGTCGTGTCCTGTCGACTTGAAGTCCCTGATTGCCTCGGCCGCCGCACCGTCGAGATTCGTCTTGAGGAACAACATCTTCGTGGCATCTCCCAGGCTGGTGTTGGAGTGCACGATGTCGACGAAGAGGTCCTTGAATGACTCCCACTCTTCGTCGAGGCCTCCGAACCGAGGTAGGGTGATGCGGGGAAGCCGGGCCAAGGCGACGTTTCCTCCGTCGTGAACGTCAAGGCCTCGGGCAGCGCTGGATGAGGGGGTCGAGGCGGGGCCCGGTGACCCGATCTCCGATGCGATTAGACGATCCTGGAGGTCGATGAGGTTCCCCTTGATTGAGGAGTACAGGTCCTCGGCGACGAAGTAGCGGTTGCTGCCGCGGTAGGCGTCCGCGTCGTCCTCGGTCAAGGTCAGGAGGCGGACGTGATTGTCGCAGAAGTTGGCCCAGTATCCCTTCACGAGCTGGAGCCGCGTCTGGAATAGTCCCATTGTCCATTGATCGGCCGGAGAGCCGCGGACCCTATCCGCCGTCTGTTGCAGCACTTCAAATAGTGCTTCCTGGATGGCAGTGAGGCTCATCTGGAAAATGGTGAGGGTTTAGAGGCCGCGTGGCGCGGAGGAGGGGGACGGAGTCGCCGTCTGTCGGCCAGGGTCGGGCGTCCGACGCTCCGGCTCAGCGCGCGTTCTCCGGCTCCTCCGCTCAGGGGTGTCGGCCGGACGCGTGTCGTCGTCGTCGGCGCGGCGACGGGACGTGCGTCCGCGACGATCGAGAGCCACAGTCGTGATGCGGCCGGGGGCCGTTCGAGGGAGGGGGTCAGGTGTCGACCAGGGCTCACGGAGCCTTGGTAGGGCGACGACGGCGCGTTGGCGTCGGCGAGACCCGGTGTCGTCGGCGTCGACGGCGCGTCGGTGCCGGCGAGGCGTCACTGCTGTCGGAGGCGGACATCTTGAACGCCGCTTGGCGTTGCTGCTGTCGGCGGCGGCCATCTTGGATGCCGCTTGGAGTCGCCGTCGTCCACCCGGGGCGCCGCCGCAGAGCTCGACGTGGCCACCGGGTCCTCGCCGACGTACGCGGTCGGTCCCAGCCGGGCCTCGAAAGTCCGGCCTCCCTCGACCCGTCTCATGCGCGTCGCTGGCGGTCGCCTTGCCAGGACGCTCGTCCGCCGACAGCTGAGCTGGCCGGGGCGAGTCGAAGCCGGGGCTGAGGCGAGCGCGCCTCGTCTCCGGGCCGCGCCTGAAGTCGCGGCGACGCCGGGCTTCGGTCCAGGCGCGGCCGCCCGCCGTTAGGCCGACGTTCAGCCCAAATTAAATGGGGTACCTACCTCGATCGCTGTCCGGTATCCGGCTCGAAGGACCAAAATGTTGAAGCGCTGGCGCGGGAGCTGAGGATGTAATTCCGTCGGGAATGAGATGACGCAGATACAATATTCTTTAATTTGAAGGCTTTATTGGCTACACTCGTAGTAACAGAACAGGCGAAGGAAACAAAGTCGCGTTGAAAGAAAGTTCTGACGGTGGAGAGCGCAGGTAAATGCTGGCCGAAAGCTCCAAGTAAACAGAGCTTAGCAACGGCGGTGACGTTATTCAGGGGAAGGGGCTTCAGTCTTGCCCCCACTTCAGGGCCTGCGTCGTTGTCTCCTCGTCGGAGGATAGAGGAAAAAGAGGAGCCTGGCTCGAGCCGCGCGAGGCCGGGCAACTCGACCAAACAATAATATAAAATAATCTGCCAATCTATCATTTTCCCCATGGTTGCTGATGTTTAATCAGTTGAATTTTATAACAAAAATAATTAATAAATGTATATGTCCAATTAATAAATGTAATTAAATGGATTACAGATTATTTCATCATGCAATTTGAGGTTAAGCCATTTAATGATACGTGGAGATAATATGTAAATACCTCTTTGTAATACAGGTATTCATTTAATTAAATGAAATAAAGCAGTACGAAAGTGCCTCACATTACATATTTTAAATTACAAAATAACACTTTAGAAAAATACACACTTGCGGTGTCGGTGTTGAATCGTTAACTCGAATAAGTGTTAATAATAGTACATTTTGATACTAGCGCGATAAAATAATTTCACTTTCGTGTAGATGTTAGCGTTTGAGCCAACTATTATATAAATAACGTACGAAACATTATTCATACTTTACTACTTTTTAATTTTTATTATTTTTATCAAAATTTCAGGTCAACCCAGTATAAAATTATATTTGTTTTGATTTTACATCATTAAAATTGAAATATTTTTAATATGCATCTTGAAGAATTCAATATGTATATGGTTATTAATAAGTGATATAGATAATATAATAGTGATACTTTGTTAAGCTTAAGGACACAATACTGGTAATGATTTACATAGTACGCTATAACTTTTGAAATTTATGTAGTGTTTCACATTAACAAAATAGAGAATTTTTAATTACATTGTGTTTGTTTGTTTAGCATATTTTACTGTATTTCCCATCTTGATTATTAATAAGTAGATTCATCAAAAATTTTTTATTGTAATTCTTTCTAACTTTTAATTAAATATATTATAACTTAAATTTTTTTCAAATTTTTAATTATTTTAATTAATTGATTAATTACTAATAGTAGAAAAAA